TAAGGCTGAGACTGCCTTGTCAAGAGGCGAAGAAATGGGCGAAGGAGTTCTGTACGTGAAGGTGATGACCGACGAGCAAATGGAGATTCTCCGGCGTCAGATCGCGGTGTACGCGACAATCTGCGAGCAGCTCGTCGAGATGCATAAGGCCGTCTCGGCTCAGCAGGATTCCCTAGCAGGTTCTTCTTCTTCCATTGCTTTTTCTTTTTCTCCTTCGAATTCTAGGTTTTAGATCGGATTGCGTTTGGGGGAAAATACAGGTGCGGGACGGAGATTTGTGGCTATCCGATCGGAGAAAGAGGGGCTGTGGGGGGGAAAATCGGGATTTGTTTTTTTGAATTTTGGAGTATTTGGGTAAGGAATTAGGGTTTCTTTGGATTTAACTGGTTAATTGTTCATTTATTTCTGATTCTTTAATCTTTTTTTTTTTGTTTTTTTGACATTAAATGATTGGGTATTTACGCAAATTTTAATTTGTAAAATTAATTTAATTTAAGATTTTTAAAATATTTTTTCACCAAAACCCTTCGTTTACGAACGAGCCGAACACGAACAGCTCTTTATTCGGCTCGTTTTAGCTCAAAAATATATATAATTATTTATATAATAATATATTACATATATTATTTATATAATAATATATTATATATATTTATTTCTAGGTTTAAAATATAACTGCTCGTTTGGTAATGTGGTTATGCGTCTTCTTTTATATTTATTTGGTCCAGGTTCGAATCTATTACTTTCTATTTATTTTTTCAGTTTAATTTTAACGAGCCAATTTCGAGCCGAACATGAACACGAACACACTGTTCACAAGCCGATTTTGAACACGAACAATTTCGAACGAGCCGAACACGAGCCAAGTCTGAGCTCGCTCAAACTCGGCTTGTTTACAGCCTACACCGAAGTGCCATAAATGTAAAAAACGAAAGTTTAGGTGGTAGATATGTAAATACATATGAATTATGTAATAGGTTTTTTAATTTCCCTAATTTTTAAATAATTGTAGATAAGGACAATTAAAGTGTCACTTAAATCAAAATTTGTTATAATCATCTTCTTTTCTCCTCATTCCCGAATAAAACTAATAGAGTTATGAATGCTACCGAAACCAGTTTGACCAATTATTCAAGGAAGGTTTACATACATACCACTCAATTTCTATGTTTCTACATATCTAACACCTAAATTTTAATTTTTTACACATACCCCCTTACCTATGCATGAAATATTATATCTAACACCTAAATTTTTATAAATGTGTAAAAAAAAAAAAGTAATGTTTAAGTGCTAGATATGTGAATACATAAGAAGAATTGGGTGGAATGTATGTAAATGTGCAAATGGTGGGGTGCTAAAGGAGGAATACATACTTAAGTTCACTATAGTCAACTCAGGCAGGTTTTCTGAATTGGCCCCAGTCAAGGCATGTATTTATGAGTGGCTTGCAAGTCTTGAGCAAATAATTGACAGACCAAACCAACCCTCGCAAGCCTTTTACTGGTTGATCAAATGTGGGCCAATCAATGTTTGGTGAAGGTGGTTAGTCATGTAAGTGTTAAGATAAGAGTAAGGTTTCACCAATTAAGCTTTTAAACATATACTCATATGGCCACCAACCCTTGATATCTAACTCATGTTAAATCACCCAACACATTTTCAAGTTTACACAAAAGAAACTTGATATTTAATTCTTCATGTGATTCATGTTTGGATTTTGAGACAGCCTAGCAAGTCATCCAAAATATTCTTAAGCTTCCACAAGAATTTTGAAATCTACCTCACAACATGATTCATGCACATTATTTCGGGTCTGTTTGGAACAACTTTCTACCTGATTTGTGTGTGTGTGTGTGTGTGTGTGTGAGTGAGAGAGCAAGAGAGAGAGAGAGAGAGAGAGAGAGAGAGAGAGAGAGAGAGAGAGAGAGAGAGAGAGAGAGAGAGAGAGAGAGAGAGAGAGAGAGAGAGAGAGAGAGAGAGAGAGAGAGAGAGAGACCATAGTTTGCAATGAGTTCACTTCTGCACCCTACAAAATGATGAAACGATGCTATTTTATTCATTTATGCTTTGATCAGGTATGAGATTTGGAAGCCTGTATTGTGATCCCTTGATGACCTCAACCACTCATAAACTTGCCTCAAGACAAAGATGGACGCCAACACCCATGCAGCTACAGATCCTGGAGACAATATTTGATCAGGGAAATGGGACTCCCACCAAACAGAAGATCAAAGAAGTAACGCTGGAGCTCACAAAACACGGCCAAATCTCTGAAACTAATGTCTACAACTGGTTCCAGAACAGAAGGGCGAGATCAAAGCGCAAGCAAAGTTCTGCAGCAACATCTATTACTGAGTCCGAAGCCGACACAGAAAGCGAGTCCCGAAATGATAAGAGAGCTAAGGCTGAGACTGCCTTGTCGGAGGATCTGCCCAATCCTCCTCCTTCATTACAGTACTCAGAGACTAATAGATTGCGAGACTACGCGTCGTTCTTTGAAGCTTCTCTTACAAACCCAAGTATGCATCTTCTTTCTTGATTAGTTTTTGTTTTTAGTTGTTCATTAGAAGATTTGCATACATAACCACTCAATTACTAAGTATTTACCTATCCACCACCTAGATTTCACTTTTTACATATATATATATATATGCGACCATACCTATGCATTAAAATGTGCATCACTTTTTAAAAGTTGAAATGATAGTATTTTTTTATGCGATATAAAAATTTGGATGGTATTAATGTGAAAAGTAAAGTTTGGGTGATAGACATCTAAAATAATAAATAGGACATGGGTGGTCTGTGTGTAAAAAAAAAAAAAAAATGTTTTGAATCAAATAGTAGTCAATTTTAAATGTATATATTTAACTTCATGAAATTATTTTTACTTTATTTACTTAATTAGTATGTGATGACATGAATGTGTGCAGGGACTGATAACTTGGTGGGGAAGATGTTTTATGCAGGAATTGATCACTTGATGGAGAAAATGGATGACTCCTGGGATCTTTAAACAAATCAATGACACTGACTTTGAGTATAAATATTACGGACAGAACCAGAAAAAGACAGCTCTGGGATAAATCACAGGGCTTTCATCAAATTCTTGCAATTCTGCAATTTTAATGTTGTTTTCTAAGATCTTAAAAAGTTGTGGTTGTTTGTTTACCAAGTCTTAAACTGTTTCATGGTGTGATCAATATTTTCCATGGAAGTAAAAGGTTGGCTTTTAAACTGTTGTTTAGATATATATATATATATGGTCTTGCTAGGGTTCGCCTATGGAGAATCCTTGGTTTCTCTGATTCACTGCGATTTCATCTTTCCTCGTCTTCATCTTCGTCGCCCGTTCGCCGTCGCGTCTCAGCGGCTCTCGCGTGAAGGCGTTTTTGCTCGGGGGCGACATTTGAAGGACATCTGTGCGCGGGCTTCTTCTGCGGCTCGTTCTTTCTTCATCCCAAGAAGCGCGGGCTCCTTGCTGCAGCTCGCGGCTCGTTCTTCGTCATCCCGAGAAGCACGGGCTTCTTCTGCAGCTCCTGTCCTCGCTCGTAGGGCGCGAGCTTTCATCTGGCTCGAACGAATCACCTACTGCTTGACTTCCCTTTCGGCATTTGCTCTTCCTCTAGTGTCACTTTGCTGTCACACAGCCCCACCTCCCTTTTTTGGGATGGCTTCGGACGGATCGTATGTTGTTGCTTTACGGGTGTTCATGCCTCAAGTACACCTAAATCGTCATATTTATCTCCTTCATATTAGTGGGCGGAGGATATCAAGAAGTCTGGTAGGAAAAATGGAAAGTCTGTTATCTTTTTTACAGAAGACGATGGTATTCAACTTGTTTCCTCCTGTAATCTGAATTTGGTTGGAGAATTTTATATGGTCATCCCAAAATGGAGCTCATTCGCAAAGAATTTGAATTTATGTACCTTGTTGGAGAGTGGAAAATTGGACTATTAGATGGGAGACACTTTCTTATTCAAATTAATAATGAAGAAGATTAAATAGGCTTATTTGCTAGAAGAATAATCTGGATTGATAAAAGAGAAATGAATATTCTGAAATGATCAATCATTCCGGTTTGGATTCGCCTCTCTGGTCTGAAATTTCATTATTTTTCTCAAAAAGTATTATATTCTATTGCATTAGCTTAAGGAAAACCACTCAAGATGGACATTCCTACTTTTAATCTTTCTCGCTCATTTGAAGTCAGAGTACTTGTTGATAGAGATATCACTACACTCGCTTCTGGGGAAATTTGGTTGAGCACGCAACACCATGGATATTGACAGAATGTAAAGATTGAGTTTTTTCCGTCGTATCGTTTGAACTGTCGTATGTTCGGCCACTCCAGTTCTCAATGTCACCATCTACACCACCACCTCAGACCAAAAAAACAAAGTGCTCTGCTAGAGGCTGTGATTCTATCTCATCCCGATCAACACCATGTTTTTGACACTATTGATCATCAGAAGGATACCCCGGAAGACGTCAATATCCTCGTAGGCAATATGACAACCATTCAACCCCCAGTTGTAGCTCCCCGGTCTTTGGAACCTCCTATCGTGAGGGAGAGGGATATTCTTCAGACTCCGCCTATTATAGAACATATCGTCGATAATACAGGTAGAAATATTTCTACCGCTTCACCAACACCTCATCTAGTCCAGAAAGATGTTAATGCTACTCAGGCTCATGTGGATCATGATGTGCAACGACCAACATCTGTCTAACCACCTTTGGAATCTACTGATCAGATGAGTCAATCATCGAATGAGGAATGACAGGTCTATACATTCAGGGGGAAAAAGAAGAATGGAGATTTACTCGAGCTCCGGAATCTGATGGATAATAATTTGATTACTACTAGCAATGGTACTCACCTTACAAATTTGTTAACCGGCTCACTTCCGAGAACTCGAGGCAGGAGGACTAAAGTGGGACGTTTATAGTACTTTTGTGCCCTTTTGTGACTTTTTGTTTTTGTCTTTATGTATCTTTGATTTATTTGGGTTTTGTGTGTGTTCTATTGTATGAACTGAGATTTCTTTTAGATCCTCTCGTACAACCTTTCTGTATATTTTCCGTATTATATATATATATATATAATCCACATGCATGCCACTCAAATCCTTAACATCTCATCAACATTACCAGCATCAATACTTTTTACATTGTCATGCATTAGTTCATGACATCATGTTATCTTTGCAAATATGGAACTTTGGGTGTTGGATATGTAAGTACACAAGCATGTGAGTTTCAAGCACTTTGCCCTCTTTTAGTTGCTTGGAAATGAAAGATATGTTTTAGAAAGTGATAATTTTATTTACTCATTTTATAAAAAATTAGAAGATTTTTAGAATTAAAAATATATTAATTTTTATTTCATTAAGCTAAATTATTAAAATTTTAACAATGTTTACTTTTTAACTTAAGCATCCAACTTCCAAGACCTATTTTGAAAATAAAAAGCTTTCTTAATTCTCGCAGCTTCACTTTTCTTTAAATAACAATATTTTCTTTTATTCTGGCTAAATAATAAATTAATGATGCAATTTATTAAGCTAGTAATCTAAATCTTGACATGCATTCATATAAATTCTATGACTTTTTAAATGTGGAGCCGAAAATTTATGATAAAATTTTGGCATCAAAAGTTGAATTTAGAAAAAAATATATAACATAATAACATCAAATTCTAATCATTCATTATATTATTTGAGAAAACATTATCACCCCCCATACTTCGAGTTGACTCTAACATCATCGATCGTCGCAGAACATATCTTGGTGATTGATGATGAATATCAACACTTCTAGTAATCAACATTCAACATATGCCAACCATCAATTTCTAATATTCATTCATTTGATTGCATTGTATTCCATCCTATCAAGACAATGGGGTCCAAAGCAATTGGCCTCAGTCCACTAATAGCTAAAAATTCACAAGCAATTAACAATCCAACATTTACCTTCCAATGACAGCTCTTATGCTCCTTTCAATTATGGTCATTTCAAAATATATTAATTGTTGGTTATGATATTTAGTTTTCATTGTTTTCATATTAAAGGTTCCATAAAACATTGAATAAATATATGTTTTCAAAATATATTGTTTTAATAAAAATTAAACAATAAATTCCTATTAACTTTCAATAATTTCAATTAAGGTTCAATGTTTTAAGCTAAACTTTGATGATTTGACTAAATTTAAACTATTTAGGATGTCTAAATAACTTTGGCCTAAAATTACAAATTAGAGAAAACTAGGCAATCCAAAAAATGAAATTTCAAATATTTCAATCACACCTAGTTCCGATATGACAAACAAAAAGACTTCTAGAACTTATATTGACTAGTATTACACGGTTGAATAGTTCAATTAAACCGATTCAATATCAATATTTGCTTTATAGAAATAATTGAAAGGGCAAAACGTGAGAAAATCAATAACATTTAAGCCCTAAACATTAAAACAAGAAATCATGAAATATATATATATATATATATA